CTCTTATTCAGATCCCTCTGTGTAGGAGAAGCAGATTACAAAAAGAAAGGAGAAGAAAATAACCTTACCCTTTATCTACATTTTAATTTATTATGTCTGAGAATTTTTGCAGAAAGTCATTTTGGTAGGTTTCTGGTGGTCATATATGTCTCAATTACCTATAAAACTAACTTCCCAAAATGTTTAAGCTAGAATGATACAATTAAATGTATACTGCATTCTAAACCTAAACTAGTTTAGAAAAAAAAAAAAAAATTTCCCAAATTGTTAATTGCCTCAGTGGCCTGGATTCCAGAGAGCAAATTTGTAATTCTGGAGAGAAAAAAAAATATATCATAAAAGGAGAAGATAGTAAATTCTTCAAAATAAATAAATGTTTTGTTTTTTAATTTGAAATACCAGTATGCTTGATTATTAATAGTAATAAAATACTTTTGGAATTTTAAAAAATTCTAGATTTGAATGAAGACGTTATTCTTTGAGCAAATGTACTAAATATGTCATCTGGGAAATTGATCAGTTTACAATGAGGAGGGATTATGCATCATCAAAGAAGAACTATTTACAAAACACTACAATAAGGCTAAGATCCAATCCTCAAAAGATTTATATAAAGGTGAAGATTGGGGCTAACATTTTTAATTATAGGAAAATTACGGGGAAAAGCAATTATGTTTTACAATAAATGAGCCATTCTAAGCTAGGAAATCAGGACATCTCCCCACTTCATGTGCTCAATTGTGCATTTTCTATTCTTTGCTGTGAGCTATGACTCTCATCCTGCAAATACAAGAAAATTAAAAGTGTACTACTGAGGATTTTAATCTTGAAATCTTTAAATCTTGAGATGAGGAATTTAATCTCGAAAGATGTTAACTATGTATTATTTTAGTACTTTGTTACAAAATAGAAAAAGATACCGAGCTTGAAAAAGTACATTATTATCACTTAAAACTAAGTTTATTTGGGGGAGGAAAATATATTTTAAATGAGTCACTGATGGAAGTGCTCTAAAGCCCACACACCCTTTTGATGAATGTGATGCCCGCTGCCATGATGAATCTAAGACCAAATGTACTACTGGGGTACATTACCTGTGTCTCATGACCCATACTCCAAAACACCAAGTTGAGAGCCAAGAAGTAGAACCATTTTGTTATATCCTGCATTTATTTAAGCGAACCAAATGTGGAAAGATAGGAAATTAATGCGTTCATAATGTTTTACAAATACAGAGAGAAGACACAGAATATTAATACCCCTGCAGAGAGTGCATCTCAGAACGCAGTTCTTTTGTTGGAAAACACTTGCAGTGACCACACTGAAGCCATGGCGGATGCATCCATCTGTCATTCTTGCTCTGAAAACATTCAAGTAGTTTTAGATAAATCAGCGATTTACTTTCAAATGAATATTAATACTAATGATAATGATAGCCTTGAAGGGTTTGTGAGTGACTATACTATACATACATGATGCTAGGCTTAATGTGTTATTTCAATGCCATTACATATTACGCAGGGGGAAATAATGTCTTATTACACATTTACTGTGACATCCACTAAAATGTGAACTAGTTTGCATAGGTTAGTCCTTTGGACAGCACGATGTTGCTCTAGTCCACCAAGGCTTAAAGATTCACAGTGTAGAGGAAAAAAAAAATGAATTAAAGCATTTCTACTAAAATATATTTTAATAGCTGGTGTTAACAATTTGCATAACAAAAGCCAATTATATTGATAACATTATATCTTCTGTAAGCCTCTTCAATTGAAAAACATGAAGTGTTTCCTTCCAAACTGTATGCTCTTAAAGTTAGTAGAGTCTTGCAAAAGAATTATAAACCAAAATTCTACAGATTCTGAAGCAAATGTAAGCTAAACTACACAACGATTCATGTTTACATTTTTATCACAGGTAGAAGACCAAGAGTTGTACATCACACCCATAAACCCACCGGGCACTGTTCCCTACTGCTCAGCCACCCATTGTATGGGCAGAGAACAGGACTGTGATTCGGTTCTCTCCTTTCATTTAAAGTAAATCATTCTTAACAGCAACCAGATTACAAAGAAATATTTACTATGCAAACTGCATACCACATATCAAACACAAAAAGCATATACAATTCTCATGAATATACTGAACTAAGGCGGACAATTTCAGCAGAAATTTGCCCTGGGGATTCTTCCAGGCTTGTGAATTCCATAGTCTAAGCATTATGGAATAATGGCCACAGAAACATCAGATGGTGCCTTGACTTTTTTAGATCAACAAGAGTTGACAAGTCACTTAGAGACGGTCCTAAAGGGCATGGAACACTTCATAGTGAGACTTGTATATTAGCATACTTAACTTATTTGACACAGCTTCTTAACTAAAGCTTTCATCTCCATGTCATAGTACCCCAAACACTCAGTCTAGCCACTTTTAGATAATCAGCAGCAAATAACTAAGATAGAATGAACTTACATAGTGAATTTCATTTTGTGTAGTACACTCAGCTTCATAATATAATTCTATCTTACAATAGTTATGTTAAATCCCAAACCAAAAGTTAGTGTTTATGCATCTCAACTATATATATAAATCCACAAAGAACCATTCAGAAATAGATGGGTGAAGTCAGCATTTTCTAAAGTTCTAAACCTTTATAAGTAAAATTCAATCAGCTACCACCCTTAAAATTGTCAGGAGCATCCCACTTCCCCATCATAAAAATACCAACCATATATAATAAAATATTACTATAGAATGGGCAGAAACTTGGTTGCTTGGATTTCTTTCCAAGCCTGTAATGGATAAACAAAGGTAATCAAAAAGGCACATATTTTTGTACATATCTATGTTATAATTTTGGTATAAATTATATCTACTTTATATAGGGATGTGTTAGTAAGAATGATACACACTTTTTGTCTTTTCATTAAAAATATTCCATTGTAGATAGAGGAACCTTAAAATGAGATTCATCACTTGACCTTCCACTATTTTGTTTAGAAAAGTCTTCTTCCCAATTCCCAGTATGCTGTAAAGCTCAACACAGAGAGGGGAAGGAAAGAAAGACTGGTAAAACAGGCAAAACTTCATCTTCATAATATTCTAGTAGATCTTTCAATACAAGTAATGGAAAGAGAGGGGCAAGTCTAATATCATTCATATTCGGACATTGTACTTGTAGAAACTGTGCTTACAAATTTCTGATGGGGAGGCCTGAGAAGAAGCAGGGCCTCCATGGTAAGCAGACAACCAGGTAAATATTGCAAACTTGGCTACACTAAGGATGTGTGCGCAAGAACAGAAAGACATGAAGAATTCATTTTGCCATAGGTCAGAAATAGAAAGCTTTCCTAGAGAACAAGAATTAGTATAAACGTTGACTACAAAAACTCAACAACAAAAGCAATATTCTGTTGGTATACTATTCTCGAGAGAGAGAAGAGCCACATACAGTTTTGCTTTCAGAGCCTTTTGAAAGTATATCAAACTATTCCGTGTGCTTTTATCAGGCTTGAGAACACATCAAATTTAGAAAAGCAGGTACATGATCTCTGTGCTTAGGCATTTACACAGTCTTCTTTAACTCAATTTTCAAAAGACTGTTTTTTTTAACACTCCTTTAGCCGACAGTATTATGTATGTATAAGGTAACTGTTGCCAAATTGAAGGTGGGAAAGGGGCATGTGGAAAGTGGAAAAGTTGTTCAAAAATGCAGTTTTTAAAAATGATGCTGTAAAAATAGCACTTTGGTAATATACATATATGTTTCTTATATTCTGAGGTGCTTAATATCCTGACAAACTTTAGTAACAATGCCAACGCTTGAGTTATAACCTCAACACCATATGACATCTTGGTCTGCTCAACCTTTATTTACAAGACTGCCCTCTAGTTAAATTCTGATTAGATTTTAATTCCTAAAGGCTAGAAGCAGAAACATCTTGTTTTGCAAAAATTATGTGAAGCTTAAAATTTTAGGAGAATTATTCCCCAAATATGTTTTTACTTTTACGTGCAATGAACCTGATATTGAAATCCGTGAAAGAAATATGGTAACTTTTCTGATTATAATCATCATTTAAAGTCAGTTTCCTTTGAGCTTCTGATAAATGTACTATTTATCAAAAATTGTACCTGGCCTACATTTAGTCTGAAAATTTAATCAACTATTCTTTATTTATCATTGCAAAAAAAAAGAAGGTGAAACTTAAATATTCACTTAACAATATATAATAAAATTGAACAGTGTTCTTGCTCTCAATGTTAATGGACAGAAATATCTGCAAGAATATTGTAAGTTCAGCTTGACTTTTTAGTCTCTGTGTACAAGGCATCCAAACAGATAAGGGATTTGATCAATTTAATCATGACTGGTCATTTCTTTCTTTCTTTTGATGTGTACCTATGTTTTACTGACAATACAGAGGAATTTGACTTTGTGGATCATGACTGATCATTTCAATGATAGGAAATCAGTCAGGCTGGTTATTTGGTAATCTGTAAAACCCCCTTAATATAATCTTTAGTTGTATGACTAAATTCTTCTCAATTTTATATCAATGTCATGAAGATACAGCTTGAGTATACTAGAGCTTATATGCCCTTTTCATCTAATAGGATGAAACCACAAAATTTCCAAAGTACATCCTAATTTTCAAAGATGTAAATAAATCAGCTTTTCCCATTAACCTAATAAACATTTGAATAAGAGATATTTTATAGGTTGTTTTGTTCATTTCCTTAAATATATCATATAAGGAAGATATCCCCATGGCCCATACATTTCATTACTTTTTTGTAACTTTTGTTTTTTCTGTTTCATCACAACTATAGTGTCAGACCCTAAAGGAAGGGCTACCCTGTTGCAGATCTCAATAAATAGTCCAATCTGAAAGACACAGAGGATTTAGGAATGGCAATCTCTTGGCAGACCTTGACTTTAGGCTCCAGGTGAAATGTAAAGACCTATGATCAAGGCCTGTCCTCATAGCTGTGAATCCAGCAATAGCCTGCAAGGTCATTTAAAAAATTGAGAACTTGACAATGATTTCTTTCCTAGTGAGCAACCTGTTGGACCTATACTGAAAATCTCTGATGACATTTCTCATTCTCTGAATCTGATTTATAAAATAAAAACCGGAAAGGGGAAAGGAAGTCTTCATTAACCAGTTTCAGTGGCTAGATTTCCATTCCAAAATCAGAATGCCATTTTCCAAAATAAGAAACCAGATTACATTCCTGTATGTGGAGTTTTAACTCCTTGTTTGCTGGGCTTTTCCAGCATACCTCATATTCCATTTCTTCCCTGGCTCTTGTTAAGTGCTGTTTACTTTTAAATAAACAATGGTGGTAAGTTAATGAAAGCTGCCTAATAAACATCTAAATTACTTATTTAGTAGAGCAGACATCTATTTCCTAAGGTATAAATCCTTCAAACCTAGAGTGCAATGCAGGAGAATCTCAAGCGACTTTTCAAAATATTTTTTTTTTCTTCTTTTTTTCTGATGAGCTGGCAACTAGAGGAAAGGACTTCTAGGCATCAGCTACACTTCTTTTTTTTTTTTTTTTACTTTAATAACAGGGATGGGCAGTGCAGCCTATGATACAGAAGCTTGAATCTACATGACATGCAACAGGGTAAAGGCTATTAGGGAAATTATATAGATGACATTAAAATTTGCCCTGTGCAGAGTAGCTGTGAAATTATTTGGTCCTGACATTCTGTGGACTCAAGCATATTCTTGGATCCATAGAATGTAAATGGAGAGTAGAATGTAACTAGGTACAAATGAGAAATAAATAGGCCCTTGCAGATCTAGGGAATAAGGAAATTTCTTTGTTGAGCAGAAGTTACTAGGTCCCTAAGGCCACCAGACAATATAATTTTAACCATTCTGCCACTGCTTATATTTATTATATTAGGCAATTTCCACTTACATCAGGAAATTGTCTAATGACTAAAAAGCTAAACAGTTTTTTAAATATTTGCTGCGTTACTGAATTAAGGGAGTTGGCTTCTGTTGATTCCAAGGTGACAGCTAACACATTTCATATACTTGTTACATTTAAGGGATAATCAACATCTCTATTAAAGTCTACAAAAATACATTTCCCAGAAGGGTTCAATAGCCAATCAAAGGAAACCATTGACACAATTAGCAGCACCAGGTCTCCAGATGTAATTACTGTGTTTGTAGGAATTACTGAAAATGCTGCTGTTTTCAGCCCAGAACTCTTCCTTCTTCCTGGTACCTGTGTGTGTAATTGTCAAAGTAAGGACAGATCATTGTAAAATAACAACCAAATTGTCTTGAAAGTGTCTTCTATCTTTGAAAAAGATTAGGTTTAGATTACATTAGAATAAAGCTCAAAGGGCAAGGAGAAACAACTAATTAACAAACTCAATGTAATTTGCTGGGAGCATCCCCGTTTTCCCAGTTCTCTGCACCGTGCCATACATCCAGCCGTCGTCGATGGGCTGCACGTTGACAATGTAGTCACCATCCCTGAAGGAGACCTCATCTTCATCCTGGGCACTGTAATCGTACATGGCTCGGTATGTCCTCTGAGAAAAGAAAGAGGAGTTATATGGTTAATACCAAACTAGTTAACCAGTAACCAATTGCCATTGAGTCAGTTTCAGCTCATGGTGACCCCATGTGAGTCAGAGTAGAACTGTGTTAGCTAGGATTTTCACCACTGATTTTTCAGAAGTAGATCACCAGTCCTTTCTTCTCAGGTGCTTCCGGTGCTTCCAACCTTTTGGTCAGCAGCTGAGCACATTAACGACTTGTACTACTGAGGGACTCCACCACATGTGTTACAACCACAAATTCCAATGACAATAAACCAGTAAACCAACCCACAAGTAAAGTAACTCCTGGGAAAGTTTTCAAGCACATCTACTTCTGGAGTTCTATTGTGTTGATCTCAAGTTTACAAGTCTAGCAAAAAGTATAATATTATAGAGCTGGAACAAAGATAGAGAAAGCCACCTAAATACACTGGCCAGATTGTCAAAAGGTAAGCTCTGAAATAGCAAAGCAGCCCCATTCAGCTTTCAATAATTCCAGAAACATTAGATTATACAGACTCACCCCTATTCCACACTCTTAAGAAAATACAACCCACTGTAGTGGCAGAGAGGGCCAAGTTCTATTTATGGGCTCTCTGCCATCAGCAGAGATAACTCTTCTAAATAGGTACCAATAATTTTTATTTCCTCATAAAAATATGTAAAACAAAATAGGAAAAAAAAAAAACAAACCTTCATTTTTAGGCATTTGTCACAGTGATAGAAATTTAGCATAAAAATGATCTGAATATTGAGGTACATATAATTAAATCCTCATTGTTGTTGTTAGGTGCCGTCAAGTCGCTTCCGACTCATAGTGACCCCATGCATAGCAGAACAAAACACTGCCCAATCCCGCACCAGCTCCACGATCCCTGCTATACTTGAGCCCATCATCACAGCCACCGTGTCAATCCATCTCGTTGAAGGCCTTCCCCTCTTTCGTCGACCCTCCACCCTACCAAGCATGACATCCTTCTCCAGGGAATGGTCCCCTCTGACAACATTACCAAAGTAGGTGAGACGAAGTC